TATCGAACATTTTTTCGCATACCAATATAAACTTTTAAAGTAATTCATAAAAGCAACACATACTAGTTGTCATTGTACTCGGATTAACAAGTATGGTAGCCGTCATCATTTCATTGTGGTCGCCACCATAGCTATTGTTGTAAATATAGTGAAATTCCGAATGCTTTTTGAGCATTTATACCCCTTCTGGACCGCATCATCCCGAAAGAGTCAAACAATTGTGACAAAGGGATCAATGAAATTAAAATCTCTCTCGACTATGCATTGTATCAGGTAATGGTGCTGAAGGTTTGAACAAAGATCACAATGATGAGCAATGGAACCCTGCAGACAAGTGCACGGCTAACAACGTTGAGTCTGGTCTTACATCCGAGATTAATCGCAAGAAACTACAGAACATCGAGCATTTGGTCCAAAAACTTAGAAAACTGAACTCCGAACACGATGAAGCCGGTACAGATTACATTGCCTCTCTTTAAGGAAACACGAATCCCGATCACAGATATATTTCTGAAATATTATTAGCCTCTGGTGTTCTACTGAAAGATCTCTGTTCTGGCTTGACAACATTTCAGCTTCATCCATTAGGCCATCCCATCAACCCTGAGCTATTTTTACTTTTGGAGCAAACCAAATCAAGCTCTCTGTTATTGAAAGAAGAGAGTAAAACCAGAAATGTTTCCCATTCAAAGCCGGACCATGAGAAATTCCATCGAAAGCTTATATTTGATTCTGTTAATGAAATTCTAGTGGGAAAGTTGGCTCTATTTGGAGCATTTCCAGAGGCTAGGATAATATTGAGCAAGTTGGCAAAGCAGTCCCTCACTACACATCAGCTTCTAAAAGTACTGTGTTTTGAGATCGAGCCGCTTCAATGCAGGAAAGCAAAGTGTGAACTGGAGGAAAATGAGGATGGTCTGAAAAGCATATTGTGGGAAGAAATAAAGAATCGATTGGAGAATTGGACAGATTTTAATGGTGAGATTTCCGGGATGGTGCTCGATGTTGAAAGATTGGTCTTTAAAGATTTAGTTAACGAGATTGTGATTGGCGAAGAAGGTAGCTTAAGAGCCAAGCAGAGCAGGCGGTGGCGGCAGCTGTTTTCCAAGTAAACTATGTGCAAATGCCTTGTAATTCTTCTTCATTCACCTTTTTCTTTTCTTTTTCTCTCATGAAAGCATAATATAATAATTCGTGGATAAGAATTAAGGCAGTGGTGTTTATATCATACTCTCAGATTATGACAACATTCATATTTGTATGAAAGCCCTTTGTATATGAACTAATTTTATATGCTAATTGTCTCCTCATGCTCTATGTTTTGTGCTGTCTTGTAATATTAACTACAGTTGCCAATCAAGTGTATATGCGTGCGTATTCGACCGTTCAAAATTTTTGTACGCGTATGCGTATTCGTACTAAACATGTGTTAATCGTATAAATACAGGGCAGTGTACACTCAATCTGCAATATGCAGGATTCGGATAAGTTTAATCATGCTTTCAGTTCCTATACTCTTTTTACATCGCTTTCAGTTTGAGGAATTTAAGCTCGACAGAAAAATTAAGGTCTAATTGGTAATACTATTAGTGGACTTAGGTAAGGTTAAATATACGTGATATTTTATTAAATGTTATCAATTGCATTTTAATTTTTGAATTAGAATGGATCTAAATCTCTGAACTTTAAAGAAGATTTAAGAGCATGATATGGAAAATAATATACTTATAAAAATCATAATATATTAATCGGGCGTCATCTGCCGGGGGCTTTTGTTCCAAGTTCTGGTTTTTTTAATTGAAATAAAAAGGTTTTGGGCTTAGGTTGGGACATATTTAACACATTCAGCCCGTACGAAATATCCCAATATTGAAAATCCAAAAAAATCATTATTATTTAAAAGTTCGAAGCCTTGCGAATTAATGGGCATAAACTAGTATTTGTTAAAATTGTTTTTAAAAAATATTATTTACTAAGTTTGGTTTGGGTTACTAATATACTTATTAATCTCCTTATATTTTTAAATAAAAAATCATTAAGTATCTAAAATTTGAATTCTTTCACATCTTTTTCATTGCATTTCCATTCAAAATTTAGATTTTATCATAAATTAAACCATATATATATATATCAAGCGTAATAAATAATTTAATAAAAATATAATTAAAAATTTGTAAAGCAAACTGCTTAAAAATTTATTTTATATACTCATTATTTTAGATTAAATATTAAATATAGTTCAATATAATAGAGGAAAAAGAACGAATTAAGAAATTTTACATACTCATTATGTTGGGAAAAAAAGATATTAAAATTTTAGACCTCATTTCTAAATTTTTGTATCCGCCCTTTTCATAATCAATCATAAATATTATATTTGATAAAAAAAATAGATTTCAAAAGATCAAATGCAAAATAAATTCAAATTATAAATATTTAATCGAATACTATAAGTAAATATTAAATACATACTACATTTGAAGCCACCTATAAATCAAATAATAATAATAATAATCGTAAATTTGAAAGTCTTTTTAATGAAGTTTGTCTTGTATCCTGTTATAGTAACATTCAGACGGAGTTTTATGGTGCGATAATTTTAATACACGGCTAAAAAATGCACTATAAGTTTTGTTATTATTTAACTAATAAAACCGATAAAAATGACCAAAAACATAATTATTTCTACCGTTTTTAATTATCGATATAGATAAACGCGGTAGCTGGTAAAAAATAATGTTTTAGATAGCGTTTTACCGAAAACATTATTTTTTTACCGAGTTTACCTATATCGGTAATTAATAATAATAACAAAACCGATAGAATAATTTTTCGGTCATTTTTTACAGGTTTTATTATTTAAAATAATAACAAAATCAATAGTGCATTTTTTTAGCCGTATATTAAGGCTTCCGTACGTGAGTATTTCCTGGTTCAGACTGTTCCATTTCATTCTTTCTATTTTGTTTCTCACTCCACTTTATGCTAGGGTAAATTGCAAATTTGATAAATGAATTTTAATTTCTCTCATATTTCACTTACTGTATTTTAAATTTTTTTCAATTTCCTCACTGAACTTAATGTATTGTTTTTTTTTTGTTCATCAATCATTTTCTCACTAACGAAATTATAAATAGACTTTTATATAGATGCAAAATGACATCTTTTTGGTAAAAAAATTATTTTTTAAATGCATCGTTTTACCGTCGTTAACTATATAACGAAAGAGTAACCAAAAAACACTTAAAGTATTAAATTCTGTGTGAAAATTGAAAACTTTTAAAGTTCAATGAGCAAAATAAGAGAGTAAAGTTTAGTGATGAAATTTGTAATTTATCCTTTTTTTTATATATATTTTTGTTTTTAATTTTGTGGATAAATTACATAATTTGTCACTAAACTATAGATATATTTCAAATTTTTAATAATTGAACTATAAATATTTTAATTAGGGTACTAAACCATCCATATTTTTTTTAAGAATTTTTTTTTAAAAATGCAGTAGCCTTTTTTTATTATGTGAAAATTAAAAAAAATATTTTTTATTTCATTTAAGGTTCATTTTTATCTCAATAGTAGATCCATTATCATTTTTGTTTCTATAGTATTTTCGTATGAATTTAACTCTTAAAGTTGATCAATTGCATAATGTTTAAAGTATTTACTATTGTTTAGGGCTTTAAGTTAGGATTTAGGGGTTATGGTTTAAGAGTTAGAGTTTAGGATTTAGTATTTAGGGTTTTAAGTTAGGGTCTAAGATATAGGATGAAACAATTAAACAACTTTGATCATTAAATTAATGTGAAAATACCATAAGGACGAAATGTAAATTAAATCTACTAATTGAAAAAAATGACCCTCAAACTTTTATTTAATTTTTTATGACACAATATTTTTCTTTTTCTTTTTTTACTCTTTATTTTCTTCACAAGATTTAAGGTTTTCTCTCTTATTTTTAGCTGTTACTTACTCACTAGAACCGTCATTCTTTAATATCTTTTGTGATCATTCTAGGTATCATTGAATTCATCTTATTATTTTATATCACTTTAACAATTTAATTCTTTTTCAAATCTCTTTAAAATTTAATTAAATTTAATGAATAATATCATTTTTAAGGTTTAAGAACTTTTTGAATGTTTAAAATTTATAAAAATTGAGAATTTTTTATTTTGAGAAAATGAACAATATATTTTGAAATGTGTATCATCACGCCATGATCGTTGACAAAGATCATAGGATCAAAGTGTTAAATATTTGAATGAATTTTCATCGATTTTGAAAGAATTAGTAGAAAACAAAGTGAAAAAGAAAAAAATATGAATATTTTGATTTTAATTTAATCACAAACAATAATCTACGATGCACAACAATCAAACAATGATAGTAACCAGATAAGTTTAAGTTTTATTTAGAGAAAAAAAAAATAGAAACAACCAAATTGTTATACAGTTAATGATTAAATGGTTTTATTACTACAAATAATTGAGCTCAAAAAGTGTAGTGCCTTATTACTTTTTATAGGGTTACAATCTACTAACACAATATTAATTTATTTTAGATTTATATAGATTTAAAACGGTTTGATAAGAGTAAATAGACGGTTGAGATTAACTTTTTTAATAATAATTTTTTCATTTCCTACATTTAAGCTCAACTCTCTATTCTCACTCGTATATTAAATCTGTGTAAAACTAAAAATTTTTACAGTGTAATTAGATAATTTTATCTCTATATATATGTGTGTTTAAGTCAAACTATAAATCAAAACCGTAATGGAAGTGAGTTTTGAATGAAATTATTGCATGTGTGCATATATGTATCATGTTCATACTTTATAAACATAGAATATAGCATCCACACAAAGCAAAACAATACATAAATTTTACGTTAGTATAGCAAAATATAATACGAAAGTTGATTAAAACACAAAAATTAATGGCATACTGCCAGAGAAAATTCGAAGTTTTGTCTATAAAGAAGAAGAAAAATGCATTTAGAACCAATCTATAAACCCTTGAGGAAACTAATCAGTATTATGATCCTCACCTGCATGACTTTGATCATCATTTTGTGTTTGACTGAGACCTGCAACATTTCATTCATGAGAATTTTTTTAATGGAAGAACAACTCACACATCATGGGATCTTTTGAGTTCAATAATGTGAAATGATTTATCATCTCACCTGTAGTCGTTGTCCCATATGAAGGATATGTCGGAAAAAGCGACGTTGCGCCGAAAAATAGCTGTGGTGAGACGAAATGTGCCGATTTTAACGGCGGACAGGCGTTGCCGTTGAAGTAATTTTCCGGATGGGGATGGAATCCGTGGCTTCCGAACTGAAACGAGGACAGTGATAGATTTGAATAAGGCTCCCAGTGATAGTTATTGTAAGTGTTTGAAGGCAAAGAATTGGATGTCCCATTGTTTAACAATCCAGGTAAGGCCGGGCCATGATTGGTCAATGGGAAAATTTGATTTTCTTGCTCTTTGATCCATTTTCCCTTGGTATCTTCCATATTTTCCCTTTCAACCTGCATGTTTTTCTCTTCAAACCCCATGCATTGATGATCTTCTTCATCATCTTCCCCTCCCCAATCTTTCATGAACATCGAATTTGGATCCAAAAAAGGAGCAAAAGAAGATGATTGGGATGGATTGTTGGCCATCAGCGGCGGATGAAACTGAAGTGGTGGGAGCTTGTCAATATCATCTTTAGTTGCTTCAAGCAACCAATCCACAACTTTGCTAGGCTGGTTAAGGCCCAGCCGATCTTGCAGATCATATAATTGAATCGCAGTCGGCACAGAAAGCCTAATCCGACGGTCTCTTAGTCCCCTTATCGTACAAACTTTGCTATGCCGATCTTTACCGCCAAAAGAACGCGACACTCGGACGATCCTCGGATTGCGAAACCCCGACCACTGCCTCGAACTTGATGGAACCTTCGAGACCTTGCTTCCGTCACGGCCGTTGATCTCACCTTCTTGCTTTGCTTGAAAACAACCCTTTTCTCTTGAACTTGAAATCATCCTCTCATCATCATTACAAACTCAAAAATATTTTATAGATTAAACTGAAACAAGGAATGAATTAGCCTGTAATTACACAGAAAAATAACTTCAAGATTCAAATAAGGGCATGAAAATACAGTTGTTCATGAGAATTAAAGGATGTTTCAAGAAATTAGGTTATAATTCTCAAAGCATACATACATACATACATACATATATACATGCATATACTTACATACATGAATGAAATACAACTTGTTGCACAATAAACTTACATAAATGGACAGATAAAAATGTTGCAGAACTTGCAGAAGATCAATGATCAAATACTGTGGAAGGTTCTTTCAGGTATTTTCTCAGAGCTTGGAGTTGAAGGACTTAAAGCTTATTGAAACAATAAGAATAAAAACCTAGAAAAAGGAAATCACAGCTGCAGGAATGGAAAAAGATGCTGAAATTTCACTGTAAACACATGTTGCTTGGTAATGGAGAAAGGGAAAGGTAAGATGAATCCGCGTCCCGCACTGGTCGTCGATACGTCGATATCGAAAAGAATATAATAATAGGATTTAAATCTCCATAAAACTTCGCTTCTTACCACACAAGGAACAATCACCAGTTTAATTATGCATTATTCAAGTTATGAATAGCAAACAAAGTAGACGATTAACTTCATACATACATACATACACATGCATACATATAGACATATATATTGGGGACCATTCGGTACATTCTGTAGAAAAAAAAAGAAGGCTTATGCTTTATTGGCAACTGCAAATAGCTTTATCATGCGATGCATGCCGAGCTTGCTAGATGAGTTGAAACTGAAAATAAATAAATACCAACATAAAAAAGAAGATGCTTAATCCTTTGAAATGAGCTAAAAATTAGGGTTCATATTGGAAGGGGAATTTTTTTTATCAGATAATGTATTTGGTTAGAGTAGACAGATAAGTACATAGATAAGGTTTGCATAGGAGGGACCAAACATAGCTAGGGTTCTTTAAAGCATCTACACGCTGAGTAGAATTCAAGGACCACTTACATCTATGGCTGCACTGAGACTCTTACACCAGACAAGTTGGACTTTTAATTATATTAACTTTACCTATTTATAATATATATATATATATATATATATGTATACACTTCTTCACATTTCTCGCCATTTAATTTCAGTTTGCAAATCATTTCATTCTTCATTACAATATGTATGTATGTGTGTATATATACATATATATCAACAATCACTATATCAAACAATATATTTATAGAATATGGAGTTGTTGTTGTTGCTATCAGATCAGGAAAACATACATGCATAATGCAACTTAGATGAATGCACAGTACACACACATGATCAACATGAAACTCTAAGAACTGTATGCATGCGTGTATGCATGTATATGTGTGTCTGTATATATATAATGGTGATCTTCTGCAGAACTGTTGTTGAAGCTCTAAAATAATCACAGTCATCAGTGTAAGCTTGGATTTTGCACCAGTTCAAAAGCTGAACTCAACTTTATATCCGAATTGTATCGAAACAAGGGAAAAATTTAACACTTTGAGGAACCCTATGAAAACTGCAGATACATCCTCAGCTTTGCAGTAGCCATTGTATGTGTGTGTGTGTGTGTGTTCAAGGTTTCATTGAAATAGAATTTATACAGCAAATTAAAATGAGCAAATATACTTTACTATTTCTCAAATGGATTAATTAAAAGGTGAAGTCAATGGATCATTGTTTCCTTTTTTATGCCATTAACAGTATTGGTGAAGAGAAGTGGGGGCAAAAACAATGAAACCCTAATCGGACAATTCCCTCTTTATTATGATTATCAGACTAAAATGGTCCCTGCTTCAGACAGACACACGCTGTTGCGTTTCACACAGCCATTAATCTCCTCAAACCATAAGTTGAGATCAGTTTAGATTAGTGTTTGATCCCCATGATGCAATCGTTCCGATCTTTAAGGTTTAATTTACACTCTACAATTTCTTATGTACTGAATCACATTTTAATCGGTAATTAAGTTGAATTTTAGTGTAATGGCATAATGCCCAAATAAGTTCCCAAACTATGTCTTTTGTGCCAAACAAGTACGTACATTTTTTTGTTCCATGCGGGTGCCAAACGTTACAAATATTAGTACTTTAGGTGCTTGGGCCGTCAACGACGTTAGTTTTTCCCGTTAAGTGATATGTGTCACAACCTGATAATTTTAAAAATTTTATATAAAATTTTCAAAAATAAAATAATATATTTTTAAAAAAAACGCATAAATTTTGAAATAGAAAAAAAAAGTTATTGGAGACATCCTTCTTTGTAATCTAACACTTCAGTTTATTACGAATTTATCAAAGATAATATATATATATATATATATATATGCATTCATCAATACATAAGTTAATCACTGTTTTCTTCTATTAGGATTTAGAAAGGTAACATATGTATATAAAACACTTGGTTATACCATTAAATCAATTAAAAAGATTTTAATTTCTTTAATGAATGCGTTTTTATTATTGGAAATTTTAATTAATGAATCATCTAATTCATTGTTTAAAAGTATTGGTCAAATAATACGCACCATATATATGCATGGTAGGCTAGCTTTAATTAATTGGCTACCTATATGCATCATGTTTAATTAATTAAATAAAAATAATTACCTAACCGGCTAAAGTAACTTTTACAAACTAAAACTTAGCTTTCGTCCTTTTAATCTATTTCTATCTGACAATTGTGGTCGATATATAATCAGAAATAGGTACGAAACATAATATTTCAAACAATTTATTTAAGTTTGATGTATATTTGCATATTGAGTATAAAATATTCCCCTTCAAAAACATTCTAATTTGGAAAATTTTGAAAAATATTCGGATACGTATAATATATACATAATTAATCAAATAATATACCAATGGGTATTGCTATAGCAAAAACAACAAATAATACCGACAAACCCGGCTGCACGCGGTGGGATGTGAAATTAAATAATTCATATAAAAGACAAAGAAAATATCTAAAATATAAGAGATTTAAAATTTCTAGGAGATGCAACCGTACCCAACACCTCCTCGGTACATCATTGCTTGATATTATCACAGAGAAATCCACATTACTTAGGGATCATACTATCGTGATCGCGTCAGAAGTTTTACTGCAGTAAAATTGGAGAGTTAATTGTGTATCAGGTTGTACCAAAGAAGAAAATTATCATTGATTGATTAGTAAGATTGGATAGGAAAAACAAATTCACAAGGAGTTTTTTTTATACGCCTTAGAGATAAACAACAACACATAGTTATTCTTAAATTGTTATTTCTATAATAAAAAATAACAAAAAAAAATAAAAAAAATATTCTATTGACAAAGTAATATTTATCCATATTTTTCTTAACCTATTAAAAGTACATACATATTATATAGACATAATTGTTCGAATCCTGTATCTTTAAAAAATAATATCCTGCCTTTTTATTGGTGACGTCGTTTAATGTACTCACAATTACTAAATTCGACTAAGTGAAAAATAAAAACATATATACATACATGATACATATAATAAAGTAGTGTGGATTTCGATATTAAGTTTATATATAATTAAATATTAATAATTGGTGTTATTATTATGTTTTTATTTATCCTATTTTTAACCTTTTCTGGTGATGCGTCTCTTTCCTTTGTGGTGATACAATAATGAGTGTTGTAGTTGGGTAAGAATGTGAGTCCACCAAAAATCCTAGAAGAAAAAGGTATCCAAACTCAATGAAAATTGCATGCCGCTGCTGCTGCATCAATAATACAAAAGCTATAAAGCTCTGCAGGCGTAGAAAGCCAACTGCACTTTTCTGCTGATTTTACAAGCTGAATTACCAGATTTGATGATTTACAATTATTGAATACATGTAAATTTGATGGTTAAAACTATTTAAAAAATAAAATAAATAAATGTTAGTGAGAACAGCGGATGTGAAGGAGGTAAAAACAGACATGGCATTCGTGGTCCAATATCTGCATTCACCATTACCCAACTGCAGCAAACAATAACATCAATGTGAAACGCAAATTCACAATTGCAAAATTAATCGTGAAACGCAAATTGTGAAACATAAATTCACAACTTTAAAATTCATGCAACTACAGAATTCAAAGAGATTCTATAAATTAACAAAGATCTTTGAATCATGAAAAAAAAATAGTAGTAATAAGATTCAATTATTTTGTGCGGCAAAGAAGTTTAATCCATGATCAAAGATTATGAATTAGAAAATCGAATCCATCAAAATAAAATTAATAGTTATTAATGATTCAACATGACAAGGTGATGATATCACTTGTTAGAATTAAATCATATTAAATATGAAAATGACTAGGATCTAACCATGCTAAACCATCAAGAATAAAATAAATACTAGATTAGCGGAAGCGTACCTGAATTAATTGATAGATTGAAATCCTTGAGTCTTTCTTTAGTTGTGATCTTCCAAGAAGATAGAGCTCCCTTAAGTATAAACTCTCTTACGGAGATAAGAGTAAATATGAGATTGTTTATTTATTGGGGACCATAACCCCTTTATATAGTTGATTTAAGAATCAATTATTATATGTTCTTATAACTCTGCCCCTCATCGAATTATAAATACAACTTTAATAGTATCTACACTTTTATTTCCATGACACTTTTAATACCATATGACTTTATGACAAAATTGGTCACTTAATTCATGTTGTATTTTATGATAACAATATACATTAAAAATATGTGCCCATAATTATGGATTTTAATTCAACAATCTCCCACTTGGGCAACATATGTTTCCTGATAAATGTATAAGCTTATGAGCTCAAAACTTGTTATCATACAATAGGTATTCTATAACAATCTAGTCTATCAACTATATCCATATAGGATCAAAGCGGCCTTTGTCATATCAATCATGACTAGACCCATCAATAGTCACATATACAAATACAGTCAAAAGACATGGATCAATCATGAAGTCTAGCATGAAAATTACATGCAACGTGAACCACACATGTCTATTTCCAACTGCT